AGGCATGTGCCCTGATGGAATCAAACTGTGACCTCTTGGTTTATAGGTCGACACTCAACCACTGAGCCACACCAGCTGGGCTGGAATTTTATCGTAAACATGAAAATTAAGTTTCGCACCCCCAGGTTGCCTCATCTGTGGTTAGGGGCAGAGAGGTTGAGAGTGTTCTCACTCAACAAACCTCCCATCAACAAACCTTTGTGGGGCCCCTCCTTGTGCCAGGCCCTGAGCTGGGCCCTGGGCCTGAGCCTGCTTCAGGAGTGGGGGTGCTTCTAGTGGCAGAAGACTGGGGCAGGTCCTACGCTCAGGTCCATGTCAGAAGCAAGCCCAAGGGACCCCGAGTGCCTGGAGGAGGCTCCGACCCAGCCCAGGAAGGCTCCTCAGAGGGCAGGTGGAAGCTGGAGTGTGAGGAGTGATGGCACAGCACACAGGCCAAGACCTTTAGGCATGGCAGCAAGATGACACCTGGACTCTGGGGGCCCTGGGGGTCAGCTGGGAGGGGGCAGAGAAACTAGACTCAGAGGAGTGAGGTGGGCAAGCCACAGGCACCGCAAGTGTCGATAACCCCTTCAAGAAGCCACAGATTTATCCAGAAGGCAGAAATGTCAAAATAAAGTATACAACCTCTAAAAGAGGGAATCTGTGTGTTCTTGAATGAGGCAAAGATTTCTTAGCTATGACTCCAAAAGAATGATCCATGAAAGAAAAATAACTGGTAAATTGGGACTTTATCAAAAGGAAAAAAAGAAAAGAAAAAACCTCCCTTAGACACTGTTAAAAGGTGAAAACCAAGTCACAGACTGGGAGAAAATATTTGCAAATTATATATCTGATAAAAAGGCTTATATCCAGAATGTATAAAGAACTTCCAGAACTCAATTATCCTATATAATCCTATATAATAAAAGGGTACTATGCAAATTGACCCCAACAGCAGAACAACCAGGAAAGACCGGTTGCTATGACACTCACTGACCACCAGGGGGAAGATGCTCAATGTAGGAGCTGCCCCCTGGTGGTCAG